CACATTATACATGCTAATCGTAATGCCCTCTTTCTTTCCCCCTGCTTATCCCTCCCTTCCCGCCCATCCTTCCCAGACCCTTTCCCTTTGGTAACTGTTAGTCCATTCTTGGGTTCTGTGACTCTGCTACTGTTTTGTTCCTTCAATTTTTTCTTTGTTCTTATACTCCACAGATGAGTGAAATCATTTGATACTTGTCTTTCTCCGCCTGGCTTATTTCATTGAGCATAATACTCTCTAGCTCCATCCATGTTGTTGCAAATGGTAGGATTTGTTTTCTTCTTATGGCTGAATAATATTCCATTGTGTATATGTACCACATCTTCTTTATCCATTCATCTGATGGACACTTAGGTTTCTTCCATTTCTTGGCTATTGTAAATAGTGCTGCAATAAACATAGGGGTGTATCTGTCTTTTTCAAACTGGGCTGCTGTATTCCTAGGGTAAATTCCTAGAAGTGGAATTCCTGGGTCAATGGTATTTCTTGAGGTGGTTTTTAAAATTTTACAACTGCTGGCACCAAATAAGTAAAAGAAAACCTTAGAAAGACAAATGCCCATAATAATTTTAAAAACTCTGATACCATTTAAAGCAAGTTCGTGATAAATGTCACTTGTAATCCATTTTATCAAATAGATTTTATGTTTCCCAGTGACTCCAGGAAGGCAACTTCCTGGGGCATCTGTTAGGCTTCTGAGCTGGTTCAAGATATCATCTACATGTGTTCTGTAGGAATGATTCAGAGCTGGAATTCTTGTGGCAGAAATAGGGATTAGTAAAATGTAGAGGAATGTATGACTATCTCTGCTCATCTACTATAATTTTTAGGAAGAGAATAATAGAACTACCTTTATACAGGCAATAGCTTTTTCCTCTATATAGACAAATAAAAACCAATAAAAATGAGACCTGGTTAATATGAATTTATAATATGTTTACATAGTTTAAATAAGAATAATAAAAACTATACTTTCTATTTCAGAGAATTTGTGAAAAATGCTTGGGCTGATATTGAACGCTTCAAAGAACAAAAGAACCGTGATTTAAAGGAAGCCCTTATAAGCTATGCAGTCATGCAGATCAGTATGTGCAAAAAGGTAGGTTTTGGTTTCAGTGAAGATACAAGTATATTCAGAAGTGCTTACAAATTTCTTAAAAATTATTTATTGGGATCAAAGTATCATTTTCACTTTTTTTTTATTTGGCTTAGCAGTTTTATTTATTTATTTATTTGACATAAATAATATACAATCTTAGGAAGGTTCCACATGAGCAACATTGTGGTTACAACATTCACTCATATTATCAGTCTCCCCCCAACCCCATTACACTCACTGTCCATCAGCATAGTAAGGTGCTATAGAGTCACTACTTCTCTTCTTGCTACACTGCCTTCCCTGTGACCCCCCTACATTATGTGTGCTAATCATAATGCCCCTCAGTGCCCTTCTCCCTCCCTCCCCACCCACCCTTCCGTACCCTTTCCATTTGGTAACCACTGGTCCCTTCTTGGAGTCTGTGAGTCTGCTGCTATTTTGTTCCTTCAGTTTTGCTTTGTTGTTATACTCCACAAATGAGTGAAATCATTTAGTACTTGTCTTTCTCCATCTGACTTATTTCACTGAGCATAATATCCTCCAGCTCCATCCATATTGTTGCAAACAGTAGGATTTGTTTTCTTCATATGGCTAAATAATATTCCGTTGTCAAACTGTATCCTTTTCACCTTTTCACCTTAAAGCCCATTCTTCTCCCCTTCCAGAATGTTTCCCTGTTTCTTTACATAATTTTGGAAAAAATATTATAACCAAAATTATTGAGTCTCATTTTTGAGTCTCCACTCATCTAAATTTTAAAGTTACATGCCCCATTTAAAACTTATATTTGAAAGTACAAACCAGTAAAATTACTTTGATCATAAGATCTACGTCAGGGCAGTAAAATACCATTCCTAATAGTGATACGTATATAGTACTTTGGAAAATAGCTTCAGTGTTATTTGGAGATAATATGATTATGGTATGGTTTGCTTTCTGAGTAAATCCTTCATGTGGCAGATATTCATAGAAGATACAAATGTTGAAGCGTACTCTGATTTAAATAAGTTTTTGACACTGGCAAAATCTTTTCAAAATGATAAGAAAATATAGAAGACAGTGTCACTCTAATACCAAAACCAGGCAAGGACACCACAAAAAAAGGAAACTACAGACCAATATCCCTAATGAACATAGATGCCAAAATACTCAACAAAATATTAGCAAACCGAATTCAAAAATACATCAAGAGGATCATACACCATGATCAAGTGGGATTCATCCCAGAGAAGCAAGGATGGTACAACGTTTGAAAATCCATCAACATCATCCACCACATCAACAAAAAGGACAAAAACTACATGATCATCTCCATAGATGCTGTAAAAGCATTTGACAAAATTCAATACCCATTTATGATAAAAACTCTAAACAAAATGGGTACAGAGGTCAAGTACCTCAACATAATAAAGGCCATATATGACAAACCCACAGCCAACATCATACTTAACAGTGAAAAGCTGAAAGCATTTCCTCTAAGATTGGGAACAAGACAAGGATGCCCACTCTCCCCACTTTTATTCAACATATTACTGGAGGTCCTATCCCAGGCAATCAGACAACACAAAGAAATAAAAGGCATCCAGATTTGTAAGGAAGAAGTCAAACTGTCACTGTGGCAGACGACAAGATATTGTACATAAAAAACTTAAAGAATCCTCTCCAAAACTACCAGAATATCTGAATTCATCAAAGTTGCAGGATACAAAATTAATACGCAGAAATCTGTTGCATTCCTATACACTAACAATGAACTAGCAGAAAGAGAAATAAGGAAAACAATTCCATTCACAATTGCATCAAAAAGAATAAAATACCTAGGAATAAACCTTACCAAGGAAGTGAAAGACCTATACTCTGAAACCTACAAAACACTCTTGAGAGAAATTAAAGAGGACACTAATAAATGGAAATTCATCCTATGCTCTTGGGTAGGAAGAATTAATATCGTCAAAATGGCCATCCTGCCTAAAGCAATCTACAGATTCAATGCAATCCCTATCAAAATACCAGCAGCATTCTTCAACGAACTGGAACAAATCATTCTCAAATTCATATGAAACCACAAAAAATGCCAAATAGCCAAAGCAATCCTGAGAAGGAAGAATAAAGCATGGGGACATTATGCTTCCCAACTTCAAGCTTTACTACAAAGCCACAGTAATCAAGACAATTTGGTACTGGCACAAGAACATACCCACAGACCAATGGAACAGAATAGAGAGTCCAGATATTAACCCAAGCATATATGGTCAGTTAATATATGATAAAGGAGCCATGGATATACAGTTGGGAAATGACAGCCTCTTCAACAGCTGGTGTTGGCGAAACTGGACAGCTACATGTAAGAGAATGAAACTGGATAACTGCCTAACTCCATACACAGAAGTAAACTCGAAATGGATCAAAGACCTGAATGTAAGTTATTCAACCATATAACTCTTAGAAGAAAACATAGTTAAAACTCTCTTGAATATAAAGATGAGCCAGTTTTTCATAAATATATCTCCCTGGGCTAGGGAAACAAAAGCAAAAATGAACAAGTGGGACTATATCAAGCTGAAAAGCTTCTGTACAGCAAAGGACACCATCAATAGAACAAAAAGGTGTCTGACAGAATGGGAGAATATATTCATAAATGACATATCCAATAAGGGTTTGACATCCAAAATATACAAAGAGCTCACTCACCTCAACAAGCAAACAGCAAATAATCTGATTAAAAAATGGGCAGAGTAGCTGACAGACACTTCTCTAAGAAAAAATTCAGTTGGCCAAGAGACACATGAAAAGATGTTCCACATCACTAATCATCAGAGAAATGCAAATTAAAACCACAATGAGATATCACCTCACACCAGTTAGGATGGCCACCATCCAAAAGACAAACAACAACAAATGTTGGCAAGGATGTGGAGAAAGGGGAACCCTCCTACACTGCTGGTGGGAATGTAAATTAGTTCAACCATTGTGGAAATCAGTATGGAGGTTCTTCAAAAAACTCAAAATAGAAATACCACTTGACCCAGGAATTCCACTCTTAGGAATTTACCGTAAGAATGCCGCAACCCAGATTCAAAATGACAGGCATCCCTATGTTTATCACAGCACTATTTATAATAGCCAAGAAATAGAAGCAACCTATGTGTCCATCAGTAGATGAATGGATAAAGATGAAGTGGTACATACACACAATGGAATATTATTCAGCTATAAGAAGAAAACAAACCCTACCATTTGCAAGGACATGGATGGAGCTAGAGGGTATTATGCTCAGTGAAATAAGCTAGGCAGAGAAAGACAAGTACCAAATGATTTCACTCATTTGTGGAGTATACGAACAAAGCAAAAACTGAAGGAACAAAACAGCAGCAGATTCACAGAACCCAAGAGTGGACTAACAGTTGCCAAAGGGAAAGGGACTGGGGAGAGTAAGGGGATTAAGGGGAAATATGATTAGCACACATAATGTGGGGGGGCACAGGGAAAGTAATATACATATGCACAGAGAAGACAAGTAATTATTCTATAGCATCTTACTACGCTGATGGACAGTGACTGTAATGGGGTATGTGGGGGGGACTTGATAATGGGGGTAATCTAGTAACCACAGTGTTGCTCATGTAATTGTATATTAATGATACCATTAAAAAAAAAGTATAAAACATTCCATAACCTCTTTTGTCATGACCCTGCATATGTGGCTACCAGTGAGTACCAGGGCTTTACATTTGTCTAGCACTTCACAATTTATCCAGCAAGTTAACATGCATTATTTCAGTAAATCCTAGAGTAAGACAAATTCTCTTGTTTATGAAGACCTTTGAAGAGGGAACAATCATAGTCATATAAATAGTTTGATGCTTTAATTTGTATTTTCTGGCTAGCAAACATCACTTTCCTAATCCTTTTTATGTGTGTCACCAGCAGTAGTATGAAGAACAATGGTCTTTTGAGACATAAACGCCAGACTTAGGCACTAGTCAAGTGGGCTTTTTTTGTATTTGACAAATTTATATTTATGCCTCAGTGAAATTTGAAGGTACTTCATGTTGTGTGGATCTTTGGAGTCACTTAAGAGAAATCAAAATCTTGACTATTCAATCTACAAATGCTGATGGTTTTATATATTGTAGTTTGGTGGTGGTTCTGTCTGTGTTACTGTCATCCCACCAACTCCTGCCTGCCTGCTTCTCACTGTGCTTCACATTTATAGCTGCCTTTGTAATCTGCCTTTTTTAATCTCGGTAGGTCTGAAAGGTCAGATAACAAAGGTTTGTAGGGTTGGTGTGGTTTGTTTTGTTTTTTCCTATTAAAGACTTAATAAGCTCCCATTTGCTGCCTTTCCAAAGTAAAATGTGGACTCTTTTTTTTTTTTTTTTTTTTTTT